AGCAAAAAAAAAATCGCAGTATCCCATAGCATAGCAACCAAACTGATATATTACTTATCTGTTGTCAGTAAATATATTGATGGCTGTTATGTTTTACACCACTTAATAAATATTCTTTGCTTTGTATACTATTGTTCCTGAAGAAGCCCAACTGTGCTGAACCATTTACATAAACATGACAAATTTAGTATTGAGTTCAGCTCACACAATAAAGCTATAAATTTATATCATTAAGTAGAGTGAAACTAAAACCTATCATCTAAAGCAGGGGTCCTCAAACTACGTCCCGCGGGCCACATGCGGCCCGCCGAGGACATTTATCCATCCCGCCGGCAGGGGTGTATTTGCCGCGAGGAAGGGACACTAAGTACAGGGGCGGGCAGGGGGCTGCTGTATCTTACCTGGCTCCGTGTCCCAGTCCCACGATGATCCAGTCCAGGAAGCGCTGCTCCTTCACTCAGGCCACTCCCTCACTCGATGTTCGTGCTGCCGCTCGGCTCCGCCTCCTCACCGGTGACTGGGCGCCAGAACTGTAGCTCAGGAAAGGCACACAGGTGGCCAATCATCTGCGAGGAGGCGGAGCCGAGTGGCCCCGCGAACATAGAGTGAGGGAGAGGCCGGAGTGAAGGACAGCTGACAGGTAAGTGTGCACATGGTGCTGCTGCAACCAGGTATGCTGGCTGCAGCAGCATCATGCTGGAACAGGGGTCAGCAAGTTAAGTGTCATTGGTGTCAGTGAAAGGAATAGTGCCCCATCGTTGGTGTCACTGACACCAACGATGGAACACTATTCCTTCCCCCACTGACGGGGCACTATTCCCCCCACTGACACCAAAGATGGGGCACTATTCCCCCCCACTGACACCAAAGATGGGGCACTATTCCCCCCCACTGACACCAAAGATGGGGCACTATTCCCCCCCACTGACACCAAAGATGGGGCACTATTCTTCCCACTGACACCAAAGATGGGGCACTATTCTTCCTACTGGCACCAATGTTGGGACACTATCCCCGTAACCCCCACTGACACCAATGACGGGGCACTATTCCCCCCCCCCCCCCACACAGACACCAACTATGGGGCACTATTCCTCCCCCCACTGACACTATTTCTCCCACTGACACCAATAATGGGGCACGATTCTTCCCACTGACACCAATGATGGGGCACGTTTTTTCCCCACTGACACCAATGATGGGGCACAGTTTTTCCCCACTGACACCAATGATGGGCACGTTTCTTCCCACTGACACCAATGATGGGGCACTATTCCTCCCACTGACACCAATGATGGGGCACTATTTCGCTCCATAAGACACACTTGGGGGGAAATGTCTGTGCGTCTTATGGAGCGGCCGGCCCAGTATTCCCGCCACCATTGTATGTCCGCAGTCTCTGGTCATCTCCTGTACTGTGGCCGCATTTGTTCATAGGGTTTTTTTTTTTTTTTTTTTTTAAACTATAGTCTGGCCCTCCAATGGTCTGAGGGACAGTGAACTGGCCCTGTTTAAAAAGTTTGAGGACCCCTGGTCTAAAGAATACCAAATTGGTAAAACTAGTAATATAAACATTTAATCATCAAACCTCCAAAACGCTATTCCTTTTTTTTTAACAAGTGGTTATGCAAGGCTACCGCTGAATGGAAGCGGTGAATTAGGGAAATCACTGATTTCACTACTTCAGTGGATACTTTTCAAATGGAAAATTCATAAATAATCATTATGAAGGTAGGAATGATTCCTACAGTTATTTAACTACTTATGGAGTGAATCCCTGCTGCTTAAATAAGCCTGGTATTACATGGAGAAAAAAACATAAAAATCACAGTGGGAAAGAGGAAACAGAGCAACTCTAAGCCCCTGGGTAGAAGACGGAAGCAGCATACATTATAAACTGTAAACTTCACCCAATGTAGAAAAAAAGAAAAAAAAAAAAGCGGCAACCACAGAAATCTAGCACTTATATTTATCCATTTAAGGACCTAAAATGACCCGACAGCTTTATGGGTGGGAGTAGGGTTAGTGGGGTCCTTACCTGTTGAGCCCACACTTACCCAAGAAGCTGCTTGCTAGGACTTGTTGCCAGTTTGACAACTGAGGTCCAAATCTGTGTGACATATCTGCAGTTAGCAGCTTTTTACCATTGACTGGCAGAAAACATGGTACTGTTAGGCCTCATTTACATGGGTGTAACAATGCATACACCCACTTGGGACGCACATGTGCTTCATGCAGATCCGTGCAGGCAGCCAAATCACATCTCTGAGCGTACATCCATTCAAGTCTGTTGTACAGATCAGGATGTAACAGACTGATTTCTGCACTGAGCCCATGTGGATATACACTCCAGGATGTACATGGAGATCACACAGCCAGCTACCTACCATTGATTTGAAAGACTCTGCATGGAACACCTCTGCACCCGATAGGTTGAAGATGGCCTCTGATGGGTATACGGATCTGTATGCTCATGTAAAGGAGGCTTTGGTGATGCATGTAATTAGCTGCATTTCTCAGGAGCAACTAACTACAAAGCATCTCCCCCCCAAATGAGTTGCTGAAGAAACTCTGAATAAAACATTTATTTTATAAAAAGTGGTTTACTTTTTAATCCCGTGGTACCATATTGCAGTTTATCAATTCTTAGAAGAAAGTCTTCAAAACTAATGCAGCCATGCCATCTATTCTATGCAATCCAGCCAGTAAATTTGTTTTACAAAAGAACAAGCTCTCTTCCAGATGTATCAGTTTATAGGGTTGAGACAAACCATTTACCACTGACAAGGGTGCTTACAATGATCAACTTTTATTTATTCATGTTAAACCTTCATCCCAAAAGGAAAAAAATTGGTTTACTGTAACAGTTTATAAAGTGTGAGCTGGCATTTGGCTGCGATTTGTCAGTGTATCTAAATATACTAGAACATCTAACACTCCCCTCTACCCCAGACTGACAATGCTGCTGTATGCAGTGACCCTTCATCCAGTGTGGGGCACTCTAATACAGGTGGTTACTGGTCAGGTCACTAGGTGAAAACAGAAGGGAAAATGCATAAAAAAGGAAAACTAATGCAGCCATCACACCTAAGGATTGGTAACCTGCAATATATTACACTTTTGGGTTTAGGTTTAATAACGCTTTAATTATTTTAAGCCTTTGTCACTACTATCTAGCCCCTAATTATGTCATTTCACGCTCTGCTTTTCCTAGCCTTTTTTCCAATTATTTAAATAGGTTTTATCCGGTTTGCAAAAAATTCATTTTTTGTAGTGTAATATGCAAATGAAAGCCTCAAATTTGCCAATCTTTGTACCGGAAACATACATTTTGGTGTCAATGGGTACTAATGGGACATACTGCAGGAAAAAATTAACCATTTATATTTAGTATAACAATTGTTTTGAAATCAATTTGTTTTGGGGGAAAAAGCTGCCTGTATTTGATTTTTAGGGCAGATTTCAATTATGTCCCACAATTTTGGTGTGCTTTCTGTCAAAGGATCCTGCTGGAACATTTTCAGCCAAACAGCAGCTCCATCCAGTCAGATGCAGCGCTGCTGTATGAGTAGTTTGACAGCCGATGGGGCCAGCTGTCAAAATACAATAGTCTCAATTGGAGATTCATTCATCTGCTCTGCATAGTGTGGATGGAGGAATTGGTTATAATTATGACAAGCTTTGCAGGTTACATGCAGGATAGGATTAAGAAAGGGAACATGGGGATGCTCAATATTTGCTGGAAAGGTGGATGTTACCTTACTTAATACTGATAGGATCTTCATGAACTTTTGCCATATGTTTTATAAAGTATGTAAAGCCAAAGTTTTTTTGGTTTGTTTTGGATAGAGTAGGGAATGGCTCATTAAGACCCATCAGGATTTTTTTTTTTTGTGTGTCCCTTTCCTTCCCATCTCAGGGACACAGCAGAGATAGCAGATATCGCCTTTTAGACAGTTATAACCAAAACAGATTTACCGCTGGAAGATTATCCCCACCCTCATGTTTGAGACAACTTAAACATTTTGGATTTCTGAACGCTTTTTCTACAATGAAAATGGTTCAGTCTTGAGGGTGAATCTCCCAAGCTGAGACACAGACAGCAATAAAAACCTGGGGCGTTCTAACTTGTTCACATTCTGTCACAAAGTAAAAAAAAAAAGTTTTGGCTTTATATACACTTTTAATCTCTTACTACTGAGTGATTAAACTTCATCTTTCTTACAACACACGGATATTAAAGTGCTGCTTAATAAGGGGAAGCCGGCAAGTAGTTAAAAGATATAAAAAAAAAAAAAAAAAAAAAAGCCCATGTACTTAGTGTTAATTTTTGTAGACAAATAGGAAACAAGATGATATGTATAACAAAATAAGCAGCCAAATACACTGAACTCTGAGGCCCTTTCTACCATATGGACACCGAATTTCTATCCAGCAGGAAAAAATATATATATATTTATCTATAAAGGATTTTTTCTAGTTTAATTCCTTTTAATCTCTAATGTAAAGGGACATGAATGCAAGAAAAAAAAATATGTCACATCTGCCTCACAGAGAATCTGTCATTACAGATATACATTGCAAAATAAACAAACAATTTAGCTTTTACACAGAAGAGACAATCCCAAAATACCTCAACTCTTATACCTGATTTAGATTAGCAATCTAAGGAAACCGTTTTGCAAAAAAGTTAACAGGCAATTTTTAAAATGATTAAAATAACATGTACAAAAACATTTCTGAAACCCAATAAAACCACAGGAAATAAAGGTCTGTAGAATACATCTCTCCCCAGAAGGGACTGGATGTGTGATGAGCTCCTGATGTTGATGCATGAACACACATTTTTGTCCCACAGACAGTTTGTTTTTACTGTTTATAGAATTGAGATCGGTTAACGGTGATGCCAAAATGCTGCTGTACATAAACTGACATGGCAGCTAAACAACTTTCTGGCCAGGAAGGAAACAAAAATAAGTGATAGCACTTCATGCCTTAATTTACAAGATGAACTTTCCTAAAAAGAACCCAATGAAAATTGCTGCAATAACAACAACGAGGGATGGGATGGGGCTTCCCTGCTCTTTCACAATTCCTCTGCTCTTCCTTCTTTCATCCTAGAAAACACAAAAGCAGGATATTAGGAATGTCTGGGAATGGGAAGATATTCTGTCTCATAGTTCTAACTTACAATTTTTCTTAACAGAGATGCATTCTTTTTTCCCCCCCATGAACACCTAAAAGTACATCAATCATTTACGTTGTACTAAACAGGGTACTGGTCAAGGTGCCAATCAAATCTTGACATTCTTAGGGCTCGTTCACACTTGACTGTTTTACCAACTCTTGCCAAACGCCCCTATAGCGTTTGACAAGCGTTGGTCCGGCGTTTGCGGAGCGGTTTTTTAACGCTCCACAAACGCTGCATACGCGGTTCAGCGTTTGCTAGGCATTTGCCGAGCGTTAAAAAAACACCCCACAAATGCCTATAATGAAGTTTGAATGGTGTTACCGCTCCGCAAACGCCCCACAACCGTGGCGCAAATACACCGCAAACGTTGGCCGGGCGTTTGTGGAGCGGCACCATAGACTTCAACGCCTCCTGACTCGACCAGAGACGTCCGTCTTGCTGCGCCGCGACGCTAACGCTCTCGTTAGAACAGCACTATGTGCTGCAATGTGCAGAATTGTCCGAGGCATTTGGGAAGCGGTAAAAACTCTCCGCAAACGCCGCATGCGCAGCTCAGCAGCGGTTGCTAGGCGTTTGCTGAGCGTTAAAAAACACCCCACAAACGCCTATAATGAAGTTTGAATGGCGTTACCGCTCCACAAATGCCCCACAACCGCGTCGCAACCGCACCGCAAACGCCAGCCGGGCGTTTTGCAGAGCGGCACCATAGACTAGAATAGGAGGCTTCAACGTCTCCTGACTCGACCAGAGATGTCCGTCTTGCTGCGCTGTGACGCTAACGCTCCCATTAGAACAGCACTATGTGCTGCAATGTGCAGAATTGTCCGAGGCATTTGGGAAGCGGTAAAAACGCTTCCCAAACGCCTTTCTGCCGCCTGCACACAACACTAGTGTGAACGTAGCCTTAGGAAGAGAGGTTTTGCTCAGTATACAACAGCAAGTTTGTACCGAACTGGTTAAAGTCTAGCAAAAAAATTAATGATTTTTGGTTGGGCACCTTTAATAACCCGTAAAACGAAAGCCTGTGTTGCATCAAGGTCCTGCATAGCACAGTAATATCTCTAGTGCACTTTCCACAGCTTCCCCTTGATAATATATCACTATATGCATTTGATAAAATTTACCTTAAAGCTCAACTCCAACACAAACAAATACTGTCTAAATACAAGAGGCATGTGTATTTTACTTCTATCTGTGCTTTATGCATTTCCTTTAGATCTGTGCAGTCATTTTAGCCTCTATGCAAGAGCATCCTGTATTAAAAAACAGTCACTGCTGTTCTCTTGCCTTGTAAAGAATGACTGTTCTTGTGTTCACCTCTGTAGCTTTCTGCCGGCAGCATGTACAGGGAAGGCTTGTTGGATCGCTCCCACAGCTCTGCTGTCTGCACAGGCTACGTGCAGCACAGTGATGATGTCATGGCAATGAGGTAATAACTGGGTTTGCAAAGGCATTTAGTTCACACAATTTTATATCACTTGTAGCTATTGAGTAACATATTTAAATTAAAGTTTCTGTTCCCAAGTATCAGCTTTCATACGTCATAATATAATTTAATGTTTCTGAGCAATGAAGGAAAGCAAGTGTTCTGGTGCGTTAGATCTGACAAATGGAAACATCTAGAGGATTCATACTAAGAAAAAAGCAAAAACAAACTGAATTTGAACTTTATCCTTTAGTTTGTCCTTTCCCACCCTCAGTGTAATACATCATTACTTTCAGCCCCAGTTTAGGGATCTTCATTGTGCAGCTTTGTCCTGCACCGCACAAGCTTTGCTCAAAAAAAAAAAAAAAAAAAAAAGTCTGGACAGGTACTGTTCACAACTGCACATGCACCCTGCAACTTCATTTATTCCTATGGCTGAAGTCTTCCATGAGTAAGGACCAGTTACAGATATAAATGTGCAATAAGCACAGCATCAGGCTGATTCCTGTCCTAAGGATGTATGATGCAAAGTAGCGTAGCACAGTGAACATCGTAGTCTGAATGTACGTATTTTACTAAAGGTGAGTATGTAAGTCATAACTTCACTAAAAATGAAGTTGTCTTTTAAAGCCCAACGCCCAAATGGCCACAGAAATTAAATGTGCCCCCACCAGAGAATGCAGAAAATAATGCTAATTTTTCCAGGGGATCATTTAACCTGCCTACCCTAAATTATAAGTGCACTTTACAAAAAAGGGCACTTATCTTTTTTTCTTCCCCCCGGACCCAATCCAGCTGACCATCCAGAGAAGCATATCTTGATCCAATGGCCGCAATTTCCTTGTCTGATCATATCCAGTGCTGCAAGTCTTGTCCAGGCAGCAGCAACACATTATAGCCCTAAAAAGCCTTTATGATGAGTGTGTTTACATCTGTGGAGGGGGAGGGGGAGTTAAATTAGGGCAGGGGAAGGGGAGCAACAAGGATTTTTGGCATTTTGTTTTAAAGAAAGTATCCTTTAATCCATGGTCCTCTAGTTGATCTCCCCCAGTCATGTCACCAGCCCTTAAAGTCAACATCCTCAAATAGGATATATGGCATTTTGTTTTAAAGCACTTATCTAACTCATGGTTCTCCAGGCGTATTCCTCCAGTGGTGACTACTAGTCCCCTGAAGCTGATCTTCTCCAGTCATGTCACCAGCCCTTAGGTCAACATTTTCATATACATGTACAGTGGATATAAAAAGTCTACACACCCCCGTTAAAATGTCAGGTTTCTGTGATGTAAAAAAAAAAAAAATAAGACCAAGAAATAATTTCAGAACTTTTTCCACCTTTAATGTGGCCTATAAACTGTACAACTAAGTTGAACAACAAACTGAAATCTTTTAGGTGGAGGGAAGTACAAATAAAAAACTAAAATAATATGGTTGCATAAGTGTGCACACCCTTAAACTAATACTTTGTTGAAGCACCTTTTGATTTTATTACAGCATTCAGTCTTTTTGGGTGAGTCTATCAGCATGGCACATCTTGACTTGGCAATATTTGCCCACTCTTCCTTGTAAAAAACACTCCAAATCTGTCACATTGCGAGGGCATCTCCTGTGCACAGCCCTCTTCAGATCACCCCAGAGATTTTCGATCTCATTTAGGTCTGGGCCATTCCAAAACTTTAATCTTTTTCTGGTGAAGCCATAGTTTTGTTGATTTGGATGTACAGTTTTGTTCAAAATAATAGCAGTCAGACATCACTAACCTGATCAATCACGGTTTTTGGTAGAAATGATATTTCTACATGGCAAATAATTTACTAGCAGGTGTAGTAGGAGTAATAAAAATCCAACAGTCATGACATGCATGCTGCTGATTCTGTGTAATTGAATCACTAATTGAAAGGGGCATGTTTAAAATAATAGCAGTGTGGAGTTCTATTAGTGAGGTCATTTATTCTTTGAAAAACAGGTGGCAATTATTGCCCTTATTTAAGAAAGGAAGGCAGCAAATGTTGTACATACTGGTTACAGTGCATTTCTATCTGAAATTCTGAGGAAAATGGGTCGTTCCAGACATTGTTCAGAAGAACAGCGTACCTTGATTAAAAAGTTGATTGGAGAGAGGAAAACATATAAAGAAGTGCAGAAAATGATAGGCTGCTCAGCTAAAATGATCGCAAATGATTTAAAATGGCAACCAAAACCTGAATGACGTGGAAGAAAGCGAAAAACTACCATTCAAATGGATAGAAGAATAGCCAAAATGGCAAGGACTCAGCCAACAATCCGCTCCAGGAAGATTAAAGAAGGTCTAAAGTTACCTGTGAGTACTGTTACAATTAGAAGACGCCTATGTGAAGCCAAGCTATCTGCAAGAAGCCCCCACAAAGTCCCACTGCTGAAAAAAAGACGTGCTGAAGAGGTTACAATTTGCCAAAGAGCACATTGACTGGCCTAAAGAGAAATGGAGCAACATTTTGTGGACTGATGAAAGTAATATTGTTCTTTTTGGGTCTAATGGCCGGAGACAGTTTGTCAGACGACCCCCAAACACTGAATTCAAGCCACAGTACACTGTGAAGACAGTGAAGCATGGTTGCGCAAGCATCATAATATGGGGATGTTTCTCATACTACGGTGTTGGGCCTATTTATCGCATACCAGGGATCATGGATCAGTTTGAATACATCAGAATACTTGAAGAGGTCATGCTGCCTTATGCTGAAGAGGAAATGCCTTTGAAATGGGTGTTCCAACAAGACAACGACCCCAAACACACCAGTAAACGTGCAACATCTTGGTTCCAGACCAACCAGATTGAGGTTATGGAGTGGCCAGCCCAATCCCCGGATCTTAATCCAATAGAAAACTTGTGGGGTGACATAAAAAATGCAGTTTCTGAGGCAAAACCAAGAAATAGAGAAGAACTGTGGAATGTAGTCCAATCCTCCTGGGCTGGAATACCTGTTCTCAGGTGCCAGAAGTTGGTTGACTCCATGCAACACAGATGTACAGCAGTTCTCAGAAACAGTGCTTATACAACTGTCAAGGTCCTACCTTTTCCCTGAGGTTTTGTTACTCCATGTGCTGGCGTCCATCTTGGATTCTGCTGTGCATGGTGGGAATCCTTTTATGCCTTCAGGTCTCTGAGGTCCATTCCCCAGAGGGGTGTGGCTGATGACATATAAGCCTGTGGCCTGCACATGCTCTTTGCACTTGTGTCTCGTGTCTTGGTCTTCCTACAGCTCTGTGTATACGCTCGTGACTCTTCTGGTATTCTGACTCGGCTTGTGATTAAGACCATTCTCTGTGGTTTCCTTCGATCTGACCTTCCGTTGCTGAACCCGGCCCGTGACCTGTGATTCTCTGTCTACTGTTCTGTACCGTTTTGTCCCGTTGTTGTCGACCCAGCTTGCCTGACTACGCTATTGTCATTCTCACCAGCTACACGCCATTGGCGGCAGCCATTACCGCAGCCGGGGTGTCTCGGGGGGCCGCGACCT